GCCCATGCGGTAAGCAGGTTTGTTGGGTAGTGGTGCTCCAGGAATTAGATCAATTTGGTGCTCAATCCCTCAAATGGGTGGTAAACCATCAGGGATTTCATCAGGGAAGACGTCCTCAAATTCCTGCAAAAGAGCAACTATACTCGAAGGCAATGCTTTATCGAGCTCAGCAACATCTAAAAGCACATATTTGCAAATCATGAGAAGTACAAGCTAATTAGAGTTTACAAGCTTTCTAACATCCTTAGCCTTAATGATCATGTTTGACTTCCTAGTGGTCGGTTGAGTCAATGTATGTTCACGTGGTACACTAGGTGTGCTCACTTGACCCTTGGTGGATTGCTTACTTGTGGAAGTGGAGCAAGTGACAGGGTCGACCGTCCTTTGCTTTCGCTTTTTACGGTCTAAGTTACACTCTCTTTACAATTTTAATTGGTCCTCCTAAACTTGTGCAGGTGTGAGTAGTGTGAGGACCTTACGTTTGCCATTGTGCAAAAGTGTGTACTTATTTGCCCTTCCGTCGAATGTGACGTGTTTGTCAAATTGCCAAGGTCTCCCCAAGATGACATGTGTAGCATGCATAGGCACTACATCACACACAACTTCATCAACGTAAGTACCAATTGAAAAAGGAACGCGTACCTGTTTGAAGACACGTACCTCTCCATCCTCACTTAGCTATTGGAGGCGGTAGGGGTGTGGATGTCTAGTAGTTGGGAGACCCAAGTTCTCAACCATAAGCAAGCTCGCCACATTGGTGCAACTTCCCCCATCAATGATGAGACTACACACCTTTTCACCTACTTTACAGCGAGCGTAAAATAAGTTCTCTCATTGAAACTGCTCATCCTCCTTGACTCGGGCGGTTAGCACTCGTCGTCCACCAAGCAACCTACTTCTCCTTGTGTAAGAGAGCAATCTTCCTCAGCCAAGTCTTCCTCCAGGCAGTCACCTTTGATCAATCCAGGTATCTCCTCACAATCGTCATCATCGGACACGGTCTCGCCATTGTGAGTGATTAACATGACCCGCTGGTTTGGACATTGAGACTGAATATGTCCAAATCCTTGGCACTTGAAGCACTTAATGTCCCTGCTCCTAGTTTTAGGAGTCTCAAGTGGTGCCTTAGAAGCAGACCTGGATGCATCAACAGCTTTGTTAGGGGTAAAATTGGTATTACGGTTAGAGGCATTACCTTGAATTCGGCTAGGAGTTGGTGTAGCCGAATTTCCAGCTTCGTGAGTTGTTCTCCGTGGTAGGTTTCCCTTCCAGGAAGGCGAGTTGGAAGTCTGGAAGGTATGGGTCCCCTCTCGGCCTTGATGCGTTCAAGAAGGTCATGGATATCCAAATAATGTTAGAGCTCCAAGGCTTCTTGAAGGTCAGGATTGAGACCTCTAAGAAACCTGGCCATGGTCGCTTCACCATCTTCTTGAATGTTTGCCCTCATCATGGCCATCTCGATCTCCTTGTAATACTCCTCCACACTCATGTTGCCTTGAGTGAGCGTTTGAAGTTTAGAGTGAAGATTGCGGTTGCGTATCAAAGCTTGAGTTCTCACCAAATCCGAACTCGTGGTTCTCCCATCCTCATTCGATGAGTCCTTACTTGGTCCCACCAGACTAGTGCGTAGTCGATGAACTCGATAGTGGCTACCTTAACCTTTTGTTCCTCGCTATAATCGTAACAGTCGAAGACCATTTCAATGCGGCCTTCCCATTCCAAGTAAGCCTCAGGGTCACTCTTGCCTTTGAACGCGGGAACTTGAATCTTAAGTCCCTTGAGTTCATTCTTAGATGTGTCCTTTTTAGGCCCTTCGGCTCTTTCGTCATCTTCACTCGCCGAGTAGTCCTCACTCTTTGCTCCTCTGGGTCCATGGTTACTTCGGTTGTGAGATCTGGATTGAGAGCCTCTTGTGAGACTCTTGTAGAGCTCGTTAAAACGGTTGTGCAATTCTTCCATTTGTTGTTCGCTAACTCGTTTGAGCTCGTTCTTCATGGCGGTGAACATCAATGAGTAGTCAGTGGGTGGTTGCTCTTTCTCCATGCTTGCAAAATGGTTAGTAACAAGAGAAAACAATTCAAGTATAACCTCACTTCACTCCCTTAGTGTATCACTCACTCTCGTGTGTATCACTCAAATAAAACACTCTAATGGACTTACCAAATACCTTTACCTATTGGATTAGGTAGTTGAGAGATGCCGCTCAAGTCCAATAATTGTCACCAACTTTTTTCACAAGAATAACCAAGAATGTAAGACACAAATGTGGGTGAAGGAATGAAGTGGAATGGCCGAATTTGGTAAGAGATAAGGTGGCGGACAGCAAGTGGAGAAGTGCTAATGTGAACACAAGAGAAAGAAACCCTAGCTTCCTAAAAGGTAGGAGTGGTTTCCTAAAATGTAGGAGAGAATATAGGAGAGTAGGCAAGTGAAAAACAAAGGAGTTATCCAAGTGTTTTACTTAGTTTCCTAAATTGATTTGGAAAACAAGTTGGTTTTGGAAACTTTTTAGAAAACCCTCCTTGAACAACTTTTAGAAACTTCCAAACTCCCTTCCAAGAAGGCTTCCAAGTCAGATTTGGTCTCCATCTCTCTCAACCGAAAATTTCCAGATTTTCTCCTTCCAAAACACTTTACCAATGTCGGTTGGGATCCTATAAAATCCCCCAAGGCAGCCGACACCCTCTCACACCAACACAATTCAGATTCGACTTCTTACTTTCAAGAAACAAAACAGTTCGATTTCTTCCTTTCTTGCGCAACACACAAACAGTTTAGGCTATGGAGTCCCAACAAGAAGATGCAAGCGATCTCACACAAATTTCTTCCCCACGGGTTGCTCAAGACCCTCCCAAGAAATTTACTCCCACTCCACGGAAGTCCTTCACCACCGCAAGAGAGTATAGGAAGTTGTTTATTTGAAGGGAGGTTCAAGTTTTCAAGAAACAAGGTGGTCAAGAAATTCAAGAACCTCGAAGGGTGGTTCAAGTTATCAAGGCACAAGGTGATCAAGAACCATAAGAAGAAGTGGGTCAAAACTTTTGAACCTTTGCTTGGAGTTAAATTTCTGTTTTGGAGTAGAACACAATGTAAGAACAGGTTTGGCAATAAAATTCAACTTCCCCCTTTTTTTTCTCTTGTGTCACCCGAATGCTCTTCTTTTTTTTCTTTGCGTTTCTATTTTTTTTGACTTAGTTGCTGTGAGGACTCACAAAATTTACTTATTTAATCTCCTATTTCTAGCTTATTTAATTATTTATTTGGTCTTTTACTCCGAATATTATTTTCTAAGCTCTTGAGACCTAATTACATGGAAATATAGTTTCATTATATTTTTAAAATGACTTGTTTCAAAAATTAATTTTCGGAAGCTCGTTTTGTAAAAATAGTGAACACGTCTTTGGAAATCTTGATCGATTGAGAGTACAATAGGTTTGAAATATTGGAGACATGTACAATGGACCTAAATTAGGCATTTTAATGTTTAAATACTCAAGTGATAGTTATTAGTACTATCGTTATAAGAATTTCTCGGAAGTTTCGCGTTATTGCGCTTAAATTGGAGATACGCGTTTTCACACGCGCAATTTAAATTGAGGAACTTTAGACCCTTATTTTGGACAATTAAGAGTGAATAATATTTATATGAATATAAATGCATTAGAAGTTTAGTACACTAGTGAAACAAACGCGAGAGGAATCGAGCACAAAACGCGCGCGTGCGCGCACTTTTTGCGGTTGACTTTTGTGCACCCAATCCTTAGTCATTAAGCTTCCTTTGGAAGCCTCATTTCAGACCACAATTTCTCTCTCTTGCTCCCTCATCTGGCCGAACAACAAAGCAAGAAAAACAGCTCAAGAGTTCTTCCAATTCCTCCATCAAATCTTCACCAAACCTCTTCCAATTCACTCCAAATTCGAACTACACTTAGCTTAACACTTGAGGAGTATTTTGAGCTGCAAAAGGGAGCTGAAAAGCCACGGTTTTCTGGAGCAAAGAGTGACCAAAATTTCTGATCTAATCATCCAAGAAGGTAGCAAATCATCCAACCCATAGATCTTAGTTTTTGTAAGATTTATTGCACATATAAGGTTATATAATCATGTGGGTAGTCTTGTTTATGGTATAAAATGTGAAAGTGGGCTCTATGAACTCCCACTCTTGGGTTGTTGCTGATTTGATGTTGGATGATGAAATTAATGGTGGTTTAGTGCTTATATTAGTAGATTAATGTTGTATTGTTGGTAGAAAATCAAAGGAGGTGCTTGGAGCAAAAGTGACCGTTTTACCCCTGCCTTGTCCGACCGTTTTCGTGCCAGATTTTGAGATTCTAATGAATTGATTATGTTGTTTATCTATTATTGTAAGTGTGTACAAAATTTCATTGGAAAATAACATGATTTGGTTGGTCAAATGAGTTGATTTCCAAAGTTAGCAAAACTGGAAAATGAATCCCGTATTGCCCAGGCAGTCATTTTGTAACGGCCATAACTCTTTGTTCCGATGTCAAAATCAAAAGCCCATCCCATTTATATAAACTACCAGCAGATGCATTCCCTAAGAACTGATGGAAACTTATTCTAAGGGATAAAATGGCCAAAAAATATTCTACAACCTTCTTCCTTACAGTTTGCACAGAAGAAAACAAGTAAAAAACTGAATAACAGAACAGAACAGCAAGCTAGCATATTATTATTGTTACTGAAAAATTATCAATCTTCTCTTGGAATTTTGGAATCAGCTGCACACAAAATGACTTCTAAACCCAAAAACAAATGTAGAAAGATAAAGAGAATAAATACGGGCAAGTATTCTTTTGTACAACTAGCAATATAAGAACCAACAAACACATGCTTAAAATGAGTAAAATATTCTGCATTTTGGAATCAGCTGTACACAAAATGACTCTTCTAAACCCAAAAACAAATGTAGAAAGATAAAGAGAATAAAATACGGGCAAGTATTCTTTTGTACAACTAGCAATATAAGAACCAACAAACACGTGCTTAAAATGAGCAAAATATTCTGCATTATAATCCAAAATGTTAATATCAAGGTGCAGGTCTTAGGAATTTATTTAGCAGACACTAGACTAGATTAAACGGTAACAAATAACTCACAGACACATCTTGAAATTCATCAAAATTAGTTGCAACTGTCTCCCACTGGTAAGATGAATTAGGAATGGGCGGTATGTTTCTCCCCTTTCCTTTCTTCACCTCAACTTTTCTAATCTCTCGATATAGTCGATGACCAACCATAGCATCATCTTCATACCTATATAAGAAAAGTGCAGCTAATAAGACTCTGATACAAGGAAATGAACAAAAGGTACAATAAAAAAAAAAAAAACCAAGTATCACTACTTAAAACTGAGAGAAAGTTTGTAGTACTCTGTTATGCACATGTAACCAGGAAATGCAAAGATAAGATGCATTACCAATAAGAGATTCCATGAGAATCACCACCAACTCTTTCTTTGCGAAATGCTGAAATATGGACACCATGCTTTACAGAGTTGTCTATATGGTTTCGGATATCTTCTTGCTGAAAATAAAACAACAATTACTTACAATTATCCATAACAGAAAACATTAAACTTGAACAAAAAGATATGCAGATGACAAAGTGTTAACGTGCTTCTTGCATCTCAGCACTGTTCCTTAGGTTTTGAGGGAGCAATCAGCCTCCATGACATCCGAACACCAAAATTCTTATGCAAACTTACCGTTCATAACTGTTCTATCTTCTTTTCTAAAAGACCATAAGAATATAAGTCTTACTGTCTGATGGGTGTGGTTGAAATTGTCAGCCAATTAGCTATAGAAACACAAGATGTTGACCAAAAAATAGCACTTGAACATTCTCCCTCAAGGGAGCAGTAATAGGGATGACTGAATTTTTATGCATATGTACATCAATTACAAAGGGGAAAAAAAAGCCTGCTGTAAATTTTTCAAAGCCAGTACCTCAGGAACAGAAGCTATAGAAATAAGAAATAGAATGTCAACCATCATAAATGTTACCTCAACACGAATATCACATAGTGCTTTCAATATTACTACACGAACCGCAGGATCTAGAGCATTATATGCTTCAACTTCAGCCCTGAAACCAGTGAAGATTACATCTAAACACATGCAAATTCGTGCTTCTTCCACAAAAAAAAAGGCAGAAACTCCTTCTAACCAAAGATTTTTACAGATGTATAGTTTCTTACCCATGAGATGCAACAATAGGTAGCTCTCCTTCTGCAACCTGAGATGAAATAATGCACTCCAAGATGTCAGAAAAAGGGAGGAATTAACAACTTCAGTATTTGAGTCAGCTCAAGCAACTAAAACCAGATTACCCAAAGCCACCAATCACGTAATTTTCTGCACAATACTGTAACCCATGTATTGTGTCCAAGGGCCATTCGAGTGATAGGAGGATTGCCTGAGGAAATAAATTAAGAAAGTATAATATATGAGTTAATGCCATTATTTCACCAAGATTATCAAAGCATTTCATGTTAACAAGTAAAACTTTGTTGTGATCACATATACTTTTGACTTTGAAAAGTACTTTATCCACGCCCCATTGAATACTTATTGGACAATAAATGCATTTGACATCATGGAGGTTTTTAGGACACTTTAGGAGTCAAGGCTGGATGCTGCCCGGAAAAGGAAGAAGAAAATCATCAAGTTAATATTAAAAAAGAACAAAAATGACAAGAAAAGTCATGCCAGAAGAGTCAGAAGCCATTGATATTTAACCAAGAACAACTACTCAAAAGACAAACCACCACAACATTTAGGGATATTAGCAATTTTTAGCATTATGTACTTGTTAGTATTTAAACTGAACAACAGTTCCATCTCAAGCTGTGATAAACTATGTTCTGATGCTAGATTCCTAGTATATTATAAGAAGACACAGCAGATATGACATTAATCTAATGTCTCTCTAGGTATAATCATCTTCAACAACATAAATTCTCAATGCCCACAAGGGCAATAACAATCTACATACTGCTCAAGAAAAAAAACCAAATGAACAACGAGAACATAAACAAGTGAGTAGCCGGTAATGAAGTCCAAATTAAAGCACCAATTCTTTATTCACTTCCTTGTTTTGTATTTGCATCTGTTAGCTAGCTATTTGATCCTCGCAATACCCTTATTGCTTCTCAAATCATCAATGACTTACATAGCTTCTTTCAAGTGAAATTATTCTGATAATAACATTCTAGAATTCTATAAATAAGTTGAGATATAGACTTATCCAGGTCATCCACTACTTATCCTAACCAGTGGCACTTACTTCCTACACAAATATTTAAAGATGGTATATTCGCAGTTCTTATCCTGATGCTGCAGGAGGATGAATTAGAACAGGCAAACTGTTGTTAAAAACAAGATAGAAGTAGATAGATGATCCAATGCCCATAATACTAAAGATCTATACACCACAAAAGAAACCAAAAAGTCGGTCAAAACGAATAGCAAGCAGGACAAAAGTCAACTATAACCAATCAATCTGAGGACAACTGAGCCCATTTAAATCTCTTATGCGCATAAACATCAACCAACTATTTCAGGCAGGAGGTAGGACAGCAAAACAATAAAAACAACTTAACAAAAGAAACTCAAGTTTGCCTACATTTTAGCCTGTAAAAGATTTAGGACTTTAAATCATGGTAGTTTGCTGATTGCAGTGGTAGCAACACAAGTTGTGTGCCTGTTTGTAGCAGCCTTGGTTGGTGAAAATTTTTCGCTGCCTAGTTTTCAAAAGTACACCACAGTAGCAACCAAAGGTGAAAAACACGGGTCAGCCATGAATGGACACCAAATGATTTCTTTTTTTTTTTTTTAAATTAAATACAGTGAATCTGGTGGCTAAGAAAGCAAATGATTTTAAGGGGCAGCCATGAGAGTTCAAGGTACAGCCATGCAGGAAGTCAAATGATCAGCAATTGGTGGAAGTCGCAATGGTCAGGCACCATAGAAGATGCTCTGTGGACCACCTTGGCCACCATGTGTTTAAAAAAGCTACCTACTTGCCACAGGATTGCCCTATAAGTAACAGCATCTAGAAATATATATAGTATGGAACTAGTGTAGAGATTGGAAGAGGAAGTCTAAGAAGGAGGAGAATAGGAAGAGAAAGGGAGAAGAGAACCTTAGGTTTCTCATGTAAAACAATCAAGCTCTAACTGAAACGTAGGAATATCCTGCATTAAAAAGTATCCAACTCCTAGTGGAATAAATTAGTTTCTAAGAATCCAAACCTACAACTGGAGGAAAATGAACAAAGCACCTTTAGTTCACACCCCAATTGTAATGAGCTGATAATTTATCAGGTTATTGTTTTCCACTTTTACCAGTCAATAAAGGTATTCTGTAGATTTCCGTCCTATGTTGTTAAGCTGTGTAACAGGTTATGGAGCAGATTCTCAATATTATTCACCACAATGCCCTAGAAGAAAAACTAACTTTCCTATCAAATGTGCATTCCATTGTCCGTGTAACTGGCTGGAAATTTTTTTTTGAGTTTGCCCCATAGTAGACCTAACCATGAGAGGTAATTCCAATCTGATTCTCCACATTACAGCTACATGCTAAGAAACTCTTCACCATACCTATGACCTCCACAAATTTAAAACTTCAAAAAAGCAACAAACTTTGTTATTCAGATGGCTTGATTTACCGGAATTGCAGTACTTAAAGAAGCAACTGAAATACCTCGCATTATTTATGCCCACACATAATTCTGAGACTTGATTGCTTATAAGCCATAGATATAAAGCTCCTACAATCAATTTGACTAGTTGCTACCCATCTTGCAACATTGCATTCCACCAAGGAAAATATTTTCATTCGACCAAAATATAGGTAGGGTAATGCATTTCTGAAACTAAATGAAGTATCCCAAAGACACCACTGGACGAATTTATACTATTAAATGTTACCAGAGTTCCAACGAAAAAAGAGGCTAGCAATTTTTATGCAAAATAAGTTCGCCACAAGGGCCAGAATTACCAGAAATTCACGCAAAAACTCAAGTTGGATAAAAGGCACAAGCTTTTCATCCAAACAACAAAATGCACCAACCTTCAATAACGGAATATGAATCTCTCCAAGAGTATTATTCGGCGTAATGAGAGCTGTTTCGAACTCCTCTGCTGAAAACTCCACTTTAATATTCAATAAAGGCCTAAAAACCTACGCCAAGAAAAAGAAAAAGAACAGACAATTGTCACTAAGAGAAGCCAGAACCCATTAGCCTTGAAGGCACAAAAGCTTCACTTCTGGAAAAAAGAAAATCCAATCTTCTTTCAGAAAAACTTCAACTTTATGCAAGCTGACATACATTCAAAAAATTCAAGATAGAAGCCAACTGCCACATCCCACGAATGTTCCACCGCGGCAATTGCGAGGGCTCCGGTTCCCCCACTAAAGGGGTCACAATTTTACTACATTGCTGATTCCTCGATGATCCCAGAGGGGTATCATCGCCTTCCTCCTCTTCCTCTCCATGCTGCTCCACCTCCTCCTCCTGCTCCTCCACTTCCTCCCTCAGCAACCGGGCCGCCAGTCGCTCCTTCCTCAAAGCTGCCTTCTTCTGCTTCTTCTCTGCCTCGGCCGCAGCAGCCTCAGCAGCGGCCGCAGCCTGCATCCTGGCGGCCGCCCGCTGCGTACATGCCCTGGAGGGCCTTTCTCTCCTAAATACAACACTATTACTATTACCGTTATTGTTGTTACTAGTATTACTGGTATTATTGTTGTTACTGGCGTTGGGAGTTGCAGAAGAGTTAACAACTGTATCATTGTGGTGAGGAGGTGGGCTCTTATTACTTTGGGTTTTTTTGCCGTTATTTTGGGAAATTTTGTGGTGCTTTGGGGAATGGATCGGAGAAGGGGAGGAGGGTTGCGGGTCGGAGGCCATGGCTACGACTGAGGCGGTGGCGGAGAAGTGGGGATCGGAGAGGGGATTAGCTACGGAGGAGTTACATGGGAGATCATGGACTTGCATTGAACCAAACACTTGGGGTTTTCAAAGAAAGATTGTAACATCAAGAAAGATATCTGTATCAGTAAAAAAAAAAGAAAGAAAGAAATCCCAAAATAATACCAAGTCACTGTTGATATATGTTGATGAAGAAGAAGGCGGAGGAGAAGCTAAAAAGTACTAATGACCATCAGACATAAAAAGTGCTAAATAGAAAAATTAATGAGAATGGATTAAAGGAAGGGGATAAACTAAATTTTTGTAATACTGGGTGGGGAGGGGAGGGGGTTTTCTCCTGAGTTGTGTCTATATATCAGAGAGAGAAGAAAAGAGAGGAAAAATTGGAAAAGGGGGAAGAGACAAAAGGCATCAAGGCAAAGGCAAGGGTGGAAAAAATTGAAGAGGGCAATTGGGATTTTTGTCAGTTTCTTCTCCTTTTGGTTTTTTTTTCTTGTTTTAAGGGTAAAGGGAACTTAGGGAAGGGTAAAGGGTAAGTAAATTTCAAGTATGCAGGGGGTAAAAATGGAATTTAGTGCGTGTTGTGTGTGTCTTGGGGGAAAGGGTGCTGTGTTGTGTCCTCTATGGGGGTTTTTTTCATTTTTGTGGGTGGGGGCTGGGGTGTTTCTGAACTGTGAATTGATATCAGATTCCTTGGTGGTGAGAAATGTGGATGATTAAGGATTAAGGAGGTGAGAAAGACACAGAAAGACAAGGTGAAAACTGAAAAGAAAGAGAGTGAAGAATGGGAACAGGATTAGGGACTGCAAGGGAAGGGCCAAGGTGGATGAACAAAAGATGGACTTGGAAGGACTCCTGCATACAAGTAAACGAGGTCGTATTAGTGGATGGAGGGGTAGTTTTAGTAGTACCGGAATTACTTTAGGAGAATTTGGACCTTTGGGAGTCAGACAAACTTGGGTCAGCAATTCCTTCAGTCAACCAGGAGTGGTCATGACATCTAATGGCATGTAGTACTACAGGAAGTAATACATACAGCCATCTTCCCACATGAGAGATGTAAACTGATATAACTATGTGGATGTAGTAAGGAACAGACACAACCTAGGCAACATAGGTACTCATGATGATTGGAAAGTCTTAATTAATGTAATCCCAATCTAGAGGGTAAGTTTAACAAATTTTCAATAATCGATATGGTGTTAAAATATTTGTGTATCACGGATATGTTTTTTTTTTTTTTTTTTTTTTAATACTTTTGCATATGGCATCTTAAGACATATTACAGTAATCCACTCTAAACCAAGTTTTGGAATGAATTTGAAGTTATGTCAATAGTTAAGTGTCATCAAAGAAAATACTTACTATGGATGAATGATTTTATGACAAACAAGCACCCAACTCGGATTATAAGGGGTGTCAGATGACGGCAAAGTAAGCACCCAACTCGGATTATTCATGAATGAGTTTTTTGAATACTTTTGCATGGTTTGTTTTTTTAGGAAAATACAAGATATATATACCTATATTTATTTAATAATATACAAGGTACGTATGCTTGTATTTGCTTATTCTTTTTAATTATATATGTGTTCGTGATCCTATTTGAACAGTTTGCAAACTAATTCGTATTCGACTCAATTATTAAATGAACCTAATCTTGTGTTCAAGTTTGATTCGTATTTTATATAATCAAAGTTTTTCGACCTCGAACCTAATTGCAAACAATTTTGTTCATTAAAAGCTTTAAGTGAAGAGAATGAGAGATGGAAGTTGAATTTTTTAAGTGGGACGGAGACACTAAGGGCATCCCACCTTATTGCCATTCATAACTATGATTTGTCCCTCAATTTGTATGCAAAGAAAACCTAACAATGTAGATGCTACCATCTTATGTTTTAGTAGGAAACACAATTGCACTTCACTCAAATGAAAAAATAAATGCCTCCTTAGTGATATGAAAAATAGAGTTATTTATTATTAAAAGCAATTATGTAGGTAATTGTTCAAGGCAGATAAGTAATAGAACTATAAGGTTTGAATGGAATAGGTATTTTTAGAGGTGTTTTTGAAAATTTTTTATTATAACTTTAGATCTTAAAAACTTTCATTGTAGATATATTTGGAAGTGTTTTTCAAATTTAAAATTTTGTTGAGATATTTTTAAAAAAATTCGTCTTTCATCCATGCCATCAGTAGTTCCTTCTCTCCTTTCTCTTTCTCTCTCCCTCTCCTTTTTCCTTCTCCCCCTTCTTGCTTCCTCTTTTCTCCCTATTCTTTCTCCCTCCCCTTTCCCGCAGCTTTCTCTTCTATCCCTATCTCCTTTATATATATTTCTCCTTCCCTCCCTCTTCTCTCCTTCTCTCTTTCTTCCTTATCTCCATTTTCCCTTCCCTTTTTCCCTCACCTCCCTCCTTATTCTTTTCTCTGCACCCTTCTTCTCCTTCTTCCTTTCCCCTCTCCGCATCCCTCCCCTTCCTCCTCACAATCAGATCTAATCGTAGGGAAGGAGGGAGAAGATGCAGGGATATTGTCATTTAAAAAAATACTTACTATTGATAAATGAATTTTATGAGAAATAAAAACCTAAAGCAAGCACTCAATCAGAATATAAGACATGTCAAATAAGAGCAAAGCAAATATGGGAGTTAAGTAGGTGGAAATAGAATTTTTAACGAGTCGAATCAAGACAAAATTTTAATGTTTACACTCCATTAGTATATTATATAAACAAGGATCAATTTTGATTGAATATTATATGAACTACAAGTGTATTGTCTTGGGCACATTGGCTTGGTTCAATAACTTTTTGAACTAAAATCACGACTTCAAAAAATTATTGGACCCAATAGGCATGGAGCACCACCAATGATATCAGAGTAAAACTCGCATGGTCTCTGTATAGGATGAACTTGGGACCAAGTGGTGTTATGTTATGGTTTTGATTACGTAAAGAAGTGAAAGAAATTAAGTGTGGCATACGGCTAAGCGTCACGTTCAATGGGTTTATCTCTTTAACCCATATGAGCCACCTCTAGAATTCATACATGACTAAATAGACAATTTGAATTACAACCGAACTTTGCAAGAATGTAAAGTTCCAAAGATGGGTGAGCGAAATGTCCCACATATGAAATGAAGGAAGAAAAGGAATGAAATATAATCTTTGATCCATTAGGTTACTAATAACTTGGATTAACCATTTTGTTCTCGTGATTTCAATTCAAAAGTTACTTGGGCCAACTCATGGGTTTTGGGCATTACAATAAGTGGTGTTCGAATTTAATTCGTTAATTTGTATACATATTTGAGTTCAAACTAAACGAGCTGAATTCCTAGCTCGAGTTCAAGTTCAAATTTGAGTTTGAAAATGATATAATTATATTTTTTAAAATAATACATGATTTAGAATTAATTTAATTTAATTATTTTGTTTTAGAAGTATAAATAATACACAAGTTTCATGTATAGTTATTTTTGAGGAAAAAAAATACAAGATATATTTCCCTATATTTAATAATATATAAGGCATTTACGCTCATATTTATTTATTCTTTATAATTATATATGTGTTTATGAATCTATTTGAGCAGTTAACGTATAGGTCATGTTCGACTCAATTATTAAATGAGTTTAATCTTGTGTTCAAACTCGATTCATTTATTATATGATTGAACTTTTTTCAAATTTGAACCTAATCATGAACAATTTATTCATTAAAAGCTTTAAGGAGAGAGAATGATAGATGGAAGTTGAATTTTTTAAGTGGGACAGAGACCGAACAGTACTCTGCCCTATTGCCATCCAAACTATATTCATACCTCATTTTGTATGTACAAAAATACCTAAAAATTGTAGTATCTAATTGTACAATCTCATTTTTATTAGAAAACACGATCACACTTTACACAATGACAGAATAAATTCCTAATAATATAAAAAATAGTGTGTTTTTTATTATTGAAAACAATGACATAGTTAATTATTCAAGTAGATAAGCAATAAAACTATGAGATTCGTATGCACTAGATATTTTTACAGGTGTTTTTCATAAGTTTTAATGTAATTTTGTATGTTAAAGACTTTCACAGTAGATATATTTTAGAGTGTTTTTAACATTTAAAATTTTATCGATTTTTTTTTTAAAAAAATTGTCTTTCTTATCACAGCCACCTACATCTTTTGTTCACTTGTCTCCCAACAGCTTCTCTTCTCTTATCTATCTTTCCCATTTCTATCTTTCTTTTTCTATTCCTTTCCATCTTTCTCTTCTCTTTCCCTCTTTCTCTTTCCCCTCCTTTTCCACTCCCGTACTCTTACCCTCATTCTCTTCTTCTTTTCTCTTTCTCTTGCCCTCCCTTTGCTTCCTCTTCCTCTCTCTCCCCCCTTTGCTTCCTCTTCCTCTCTCTCCCCCCTTCCTCTCCTTGCTCTCTTCCTCTTTTCCTTTCCATCCCTCCTTCCTCCCTTTCTCTCACCGCATCTCTTTTGCTCCCTCTCTACAATCAAATCTAATCACATATGGGGAGAGGAGAGGTACGGAAGAAGGGGAGGAGAGAGAAGAGGAAAAGAAGTGGTAATGGAGGAGAATGGTAAAATGTGGGTGATGGTAGTGAAAAGTGGAGAGTAGTGGTGGAGGAAGAAATGGGTGCTGATATATTATTTTTATTTTTATTCTTTTTATCAACTTAAAGTGAGTTGTACTTGGGAGTTTTTAGGTTATTTTGGAGTGTTTTTGGATTAATGTTATTGTAGAATTGTATTTGAAATATAAGATTTTCCAAAAACTTAGAATCTATCAGAGCCATAGTTATCCCTACCCCTTTTTGAAATATTTTGAAAGTGTTGTAGGATGTTTTTAGGTTTTGTTACTATAGAAATATATATATATATATTAATAGGGCAAAATATCTGTTGGTTCTCGAACTATTAAATTTATACACTTTTAGTCCAATTATTATTTGTATATTTTTAGTCTTCCAACTTATAACACAGACATAGTTTGAATCATTTTTTGACCAATCATGTCTGGTCACAGTTACAATTACCAGCTGTTGGTCAATAGTCGTTCATTGATTGTCATTGACCAATGTTTGACAACTATTTTACTATTGTCAAAATTTATAAATGAAATTATATCTTTAGAATATATTTTTTGGCATACGTTCCAAATATGGGTTTGGTTTTCTCTAAATCTTGATAGAAATGAGTAGATCTAAAATCAAATGTAGTTTTACCACTACTCCACAAGTCCTTTATCAAATCTTTCAAACTTTATATCAAAATATTTCCTGGAGTGATAAGAGTTCAAATTGACAAAAATTTGACACAAAATCCTCAAAATTTTTCTCAACATAACTTAGCACTCTCACGATCATTTTTGGCCATCTTAAGATTCATTTGGTGTCAAATTCTATAATATTTTATACTATTCAACTTCTTATACCATGGTTATTGCAAAATATAATTTATTTGATCATATTTACATTGAATTAAAAACCACTCAATTTTGGACCATTCCTTTTACTATGTTAATTTACTAGACTTTCAATTTTTTTGCTGGTGTATTGTGCGTAATACAGTTTTCATGGGTTTTAACAGTTCAAATGAATGAAGGGTTAGAATTACACGTTTTTAGAAATTGAAGGAATAAAAATTTGTAAATAATAGTTGGACTACTAAAAGTTTGACAAACTTAATAGTTTGAAAGCCAAACATATATTTTTCCCATATTAAAAAACATAAGGCCACATTTAAATTAAGTGTTTTAAGGACGTTCTTATTAAACTTTAAGGATAGATGTGTGTTTTAATAAAATTTTTGACTTTATTTTTTGGATTAATCTTTTATACACTAACAGTATATACACTTTTACTATTAGATGCATGACACATAATCTGAATTTGAATTTGAAATTCAAATTTTGCGTATTGTTGTATATTCAACTGTGATAGTGTATATACAACGTCAGTGCATATAAAATTTACTCTTATTTTTTAGGAGTTTTTTAACATGCTTTTAGAGTGTGTTTTCAGAAATTATAGAAAATGACTTTTATGCCCTCCACTCTCTCTCTCTCTCCCCCCCCTCTTTTCTTCCCTGCCATCTATCTTCTTCTCTTTTCATCTACCAGTTCTCTTCATTCCTTCCCACTCCTCTTTCTCTCTATTTTCCACTACATCTTCTTCTTTTCTTATCTTTTCCCTTGCTCTGCTCTCCTTTCCCTCTTATCTCTTCCCTCTATCCTGATCTCCATCTGCCTAGTCCCAATCTAATCTAGATGAGCAAGGGAGAAAAAAAGATGAGATCTATTGGGCTTACTCAACAATTGGAGTATACACAGTATATATGGTGGCCAAGGAACTAAAGAGAAATAAGGGAAAAGAAATACCATAAGTGGGGACAACAGTAGAAATGAGAATCGAACAGGAATATGGAAAACTCTATGGGGGAATGAATGTAAAACACAAGTTGAACCACTTTATATGGAAATGCCTAAAAGGAATCCTACCTATAAATGGAGTAATCAAGACCAGAACAGGAAGAGGAGAACCAATGTGCAAATGTTGTGGCAACCAAGTGGAAACATTGGAGCACATGCTTTTCTACTGTGAAAATGCAGAGGCAATATAAAAATGTAATCCAATAAGATGGGATGGACTGGAAAAGCACAGGGACAACTTCTGGCACTGGTGGAATGAACTTATAGGGGTAACTCAGAAAAAAGATGGACATGATCATATTGCCTTAACAATCAACATACTATGGCAGATTTGGAAGGCAAAAAATGAATTCCAGTTTAACACACTGAAGAAGCAGCCAATGGCTCAAATCAATAAAGCTTTTATCAGAATGGCTAGAGTATAAGGAAGTGCAATCGTCCAATAGTGTCAATCTTGAAAGAAACCAAGCGACTCGGTCTACCTAGATTATTTACATCAAAATTAAAGGAATTTAAAATGAACGACTTGAATTGTTTGAAATGATACGGTATGATTTGGACTGTTAACTTGTAGTAAACTAACTATTTCTTGTCATTTTTTGAAGATTGAAGCAATGAGGGGTTTCCAGTAAAGGCCCACGCTTGGGCAACGCCCAATTTCATCCTAAGCAGGAGTAGGGCATCTGCTAGATATGTAGAAACGTCCCACTACGCTCCAAGCTCGAAACAAATTCAAGAATCTGTGCAAGTTGTTGGGTCACTTCACAAGAAACAACAAAAGCCTTGCATGGCCAACAATTGGAGCCCATTTCAGTTAGAGTATCATTGCTCATTTGCTCTCTCTCTCTCTCTCTATGGATTTGGGGCAGGGACGGTCATACAGTATGACCGTCCCTGCACGGTTAAGGGCCAAGATTTGCCCTCAAAATTTTGTGCGGCTGAGATTACACCATGTAACTCGATTTCCGCGCCAAGTGTGGGGCCCATCACTATCTGTTCTGAAAATACATCATGTGAAAAAAAAGTTACACGATGTACAAAGAAAGTTACGCACAGTTGATAATGATCAAAATTGCCCGGGACGGTTGCACCTCCGTGCCCCGAGTCCCTCTCTCTCTCTCTCTCTCTATATATATATATATTATGCAACAGTCCGAATCTTGCCGACTTAAAGCTCCCACTTTCGTTCTCAGTCTCTCAAGTCTTTAACCACATAGTGATAAATCAACTATTAACATAATATGCTAAGCTAAACCATTAGAAAAGCCTTTTATTATATCCTCGGTGAAAAATTAATTGTAGTGTTGCTGTTAGTTTTGTGAGACAAACTCTCGATTATCTGAATGGGGTTAGCGTAGCTAAGCCATTAGAGTAATAGGTTTAATTATGTAAAAGTGTAGAAGATCATAATAAATCTTTACATATAGATATACTTGTCGATTTCACAAATAAAAGATATATCATTTCCTATCTTTTGTGCCTATAATAACCCTAGAAGAAGTTCTCGGACTTGAAAAGGAATACGTGAGTTTTGAACGAATGACAAGCTGAGATGAATGATTCACTACTATTTGCTTGCTTGGAGAAAATTTCATCTCATGAAGTTCTTATCCAAGTTTGTGAAGTGTAAAAGTTATTAATTAGTCAAACCCTTCAAGATATTAGGACCCTGGAACTTCCCATTATTGTTGGATGTTTAAGAGAGCCATGACTGGCTGACTAGTGTATTTCACAAGTTGGATGCGAGGCAAATTGCCAAATTTGGGTTGCATGGTTTGTTGCCTGTTGGACGTGAAAGATTTCTTGCCTATTTATGGTCTAACCTGTTATGCACTATACTATACAGCATGATTTCCTCATCATTCCCTCCATCTGTGCGTGCTGCTGTTTTACATTGAACTTGGGAACATCATACAGGAGTTTATACACTTCTGATAACCTTATAAAAGAATAAAAAAGAAACAAAAATTAGAAGCCGATAATACATAAGTTGAAAAAGAAAAAAATTCAGGCAAGAACTCATAAAGGTGCAATATTCTCTTTATGCAAATTGCAAACAGTGAATAGACAATAATAATAATTGTTCTTTTGAGATACGTGGTACTACTTTTATCTGGTTGGAACTGTTGCATGAGTATGATTAGCATGCTTCAGTTAAAGCGACCCACATTTTTAGTGGCTCCTAACTTTTTCCAAGTGCCATTTTCGTTCCATCATTCTCAACTCAAAAGCTACCTCTGTGCTCCATTCTGCATATGATCATTGCAGTAACTTTAGTCTTTTTTTGCTTCAGATGCCTCTCCTGAAACATATCTTTCCTAATTTTCTTTTTTTGTGAAGTAGTACTTAAAACAAAAGATTTCCTGCATGGGTATCGTTCCGTACAAAAGTGTTAATACTGTAGCCAGCCAGCATGCTCAATTGATTTGCCCCCCTTTTCAATATTCAAATTGAAAAAGTTTCTCTTTACCAGGTTGGGCTAGCCAGCTGTCGTACGTGTTTCAGCCTTCAGGACAAGGACAAGAGGTTGCTTATGTACTAAAACGGAAGATGCAGAAACAAAAGAAGCAGAACAAGGAAATTATAAAGGTACACCAGAAGGGAAGGGGGAAGGGAGCATAATCCAATTTGTAGTTGTTTAGCAGTACTGCTTCTACTTGAGGGAAATCTAGATGAGGTAAGGAAGAGTTTGAGTTCTGATGTCGCAGAAGAGATGGCACCTATTTTGCTAGCTGCTATTAAATTCAATTTAAGCAAGCTAGCTAAACAGGTATCATCTCTCTGCAACACTAGAAACTGCAACTTCAATGTCATCATGGCCTGACAACTCTTGTCGTAACAAGTACGCGCATATGCTACTTCAGGTACTTCTTCAGTAGTGTTCTTTTTCTTACTATGTTTTTTGATAGCTCCATACAACTCTGCAGGTCTATCTGAAAAGACTGTTTCTTCTGTCAATTTTGATAACTCTGTTGGAGAAATGACAAGATTACGTTGTTGCTCATTCTTCTTGTTTTTGTTTGATTGGTTTAATTCGTCCCTCTTACTGCCTTGCTAATGGAGGAAAAAATTGACAATGATACCATGCAAGTTTGAGGCTTCTAGCCTCATCTGAGGCAGTACAGGAATTGGGGTGGGGGAGGACTCTCACTGGTTGAATTGCCCATTAGAAGTTAGAACAAGCAAAACAAGGTTTTGGCAACACATTGTGTTGATCGATATTGTAAGGATTTTTTTTTTATACACTATAACATCTTGAACATATGCGTCTCAAGATATTATGCGTCTCAAGATATTAGTTCTGGATATCCAGCTTTGTGAATCTTCAACAATTTATTCTACTAGAACCTTTACATGAAAATTTTGTTTTAAGTGACTAGAACCTTTACTATAATGAATCTTTACTCTTGAAAGGATTGGGCTTTGAACCTCATAGAATAGCTTAATTCCAATCAAACTCAGAAAAATGAATCATCCCAAAAGCAAGAACACAGATTAATCAAAGAAGAATCATAAGTCCTCTCAAACCAAAAAGCAGCCCAACTCGTCTCTCCACGTAACACAAAAGATGACTGCAAATATGCTATAATAAGCAAAGCAACCAAAGGGATACACGTAAGAACACCAAATTCACATATGGATTGGTTAACTTGGTTGCACCAGAAGGGGGGATGGAGCAGGACCAGTAGTCACCTCAGCTGTGGTATTTTCTTTTGAACAAGTGTACTTGCACCGACTTGGAGGAACAACCCTGTAGACACCACTGCTTGCAAGGATGTAAACGTCCTTGCTGTTATCCTCACCAAAGGAATAGATGTATCCCAATGCCGGAAGTGTACTTCCAGGTACAAAGGTGCAACTTATGGGTGAATCATGAGCACAAGTAAAGGGGATCAGGTTGGAGGTAAAGTTCCCACTGTTTTCAGGGCTTTCAATGCCAGCCCACAGAGCTCCTGCATAAAGATCTGCATACAGATACCTGCAGTAACATCAAAATCATCATAAGAAGCCAATTGATAAGAGAGTATTCCATGAGGAGATTGTACTAAAAACAATTCAAACTCCCCTCTGTGATTGCAAATTCTGCATCAACCATGTCATACTGAACTCTTTGTTCCTTTTACTCTCTCAATGTGCTGATTTCAAATATATATTCATCTTTCCAAGACAAATTTGACATACTTACATTCCGTATGTGCAAGGATCAGTCTCTGCTCGGTAGAAATATCCTCCTGTGATTGATGCTGAGCCCTCATTCTTGTTCACAGCTGAGTGGTTGTATCCCATCACGGGGAAAATGGGGTTTATAGATTTTGCTGATGTATTTCCTCCAGGTGATTTTGGAGGATTGAAAAGATTAGGGCCCTCGTACACATGCCATCCATAGTTTCCATTCTTCATGACCAGATCCACTTCTTCATACGTATCCTGATATGAAAGAAGTAATGTATAGTAATAAGCTTCCAATGCTTTATATCCAAACACCAAGCTGTTAATATCTCAAGCATTGAAGAACGTATAAATATATCAATTCAAAGTTGACTGGCTAAAAACCAGGATCATTACGTGATACGTTGCTATAGAATATGACTGATAGCTCATCAATATGTTTCCACCAAGTTTGTTTGATATGATCTCTTAATCAATTTGCAGAAGGCATCAGCAGTTGAATAAGCATAGATTCAATGAAAATAAAAGAAATGCTTTACCTGATAGAAGTCAGAAATGATAACACCCTGCAGCAATCTTAGCTTCTTGGTTTCTTACTTAGTGTGTAGGTTCTCATATACAAAAATTTTTCTAACGGGAAATTATAAATCCAAGTGACATAAGGGTAAGTTTAATCAGTTAGATGTTGATTAACATCAGTATGCTGGAAAAAAGTTTTCATATTATTCTTCACTCAAGGTTGAATAAGAAGTTTGGAAAGATGCACCATTGTGCATCACATAGCACAAACAGGATTTGTAGGTACCCTTGACAATGTAGAGCAAACATAGAATTCCAGATTTTTTCTTCTTAGAATCGACAATACCTGGCCTACATCAGCACACATGAAATAAGAAGGCCTCACAGAATCAAAACTACAACGCCAAGGATTTCTGAAGCCTAGGGCCCAAATTTCTGGTTGCAATTCTTTATCTTCAGTGTAAGGATTATCTCTGGGGATTGAGTAGTTTCCCCATAGAGAAAGCTGACTGATTTCTGCAGCACCTGATGCACAGTAAAAGATACGACTCAAGGGAGGCAGTAATCAGGTATTGCCTTCTATTCTAAATGTTCTTATTGAAGCATCAAAGGCTGAGTACAGAAGAATACTAAATAGCAACTTAAATTACAAAGATTGTGATACTTTTGAAGCCAAATGAATTAATTGAAAAAAAATCTATACAACCTGAGAATGCCAAAAACAGCCAAATAGGAAGCAAAAGCTTTGAGGTCTAATTTCTGACTGGTAGGCAAACATGCTGTAGATGTTAAGGTGTGCTATTGAAGCATGCATAAGTTATTTCTAAGTTACAAGAAGGCTTATGAAAATTTTGATTGGTGGGGTGCTCATTACCTATACATGCTACGGATGTAGGCATATTGTTTAAGCTTGCACAGCTGGTAAATGTTAATAACTGATTATGAGGGAAGAAGAAGAAGCAAAAGTTAAAAAATAATCATGGCAAGTGATACCATGTTGTTTCTGCAAATGTATAGGGAAGAACATAGCAGACAAAACTTCTGGTAACAACCAAACATAACAAGTCTGCTATTAAGACATTTGTATCAGACCTGGGACTAGCACTTCACAGTAAGAAAATGATTGATCCTCTTATGTTGTTGTAATTGGACCAATTGACATGGTAGATGCTCTTTGGCTAGCAATTTAGATATGGAGCATGTACAATGGTGAAAACTGATTTATCTTGTCCAAAGAAAACTGCTATGCAGGATATCCTAATGGTTGATCTTGATGAACTAAGTAACGTGGAAATTGTATCATAACAACTTACTTGGTATGTTATCAACATCAAGCCGCATGATTTTCCCGAGTAGGGATTTCTTGTTTTGTGAAAAATTGTATGGATCGCCTGAATTTCCACCATCCCCCATCATGAAGTACAAATATCCATCCGTTGGTCCAAAAAGAATCTGGCCTGCATGATGGGCCGTAAAGGGAAGACCCATGGTAAATATCCTTCTAACTTCTGATGGTTGGGCAGTTTTTGCCTGTAAAAAATAAGAAGCATGAAATCTAGTTAAATTATGGAGGAGAAGTGTAATGGGCAGGAAGCATAGTTCTGCTTGAGACATACCAAGGAGGGCTGGGATGCGGTACCGTTAACTGTAAACTCTGCTACTACACTTTGATATTGGCATGGAAAGGAGCCACTATCAGGAGGTAGTTGTGAAGCATCACAGTTCACATCCGAGTTACAAGCACATCTTCCTCCACAAGCAGGCCACTTTGTCTTATCACAATTGAACGAAGCAAAGAATCGTCCATTTGTTAAGAAGTTTGGATGAACTGCAATGCCCATCATCCCAAATGCAGTATCAAAGGTAACTTCGTCAGTTAAATCTAGAAAGGGATTGGCCTCATCAAGCTGCATTACACCTCCTGAACCCTGTTTGGGTATGGTGGCCAACCAAATCATGCCTGGTTGGTTTGAGAAAAAAGCACGGTTGGAGCCGTCTGGATGAGCAACCATGTTTAGATATGAACCATTTCCAATTTTTTCGAGGCACAAACCACTTGGAGGGATTGAAGTTCCAGTACTGTTAAGGTTTACAGGTTCACCAGCAAAGCATACTGAATTATCGTCAGAAGCTCCACCAAAAGCATTGCAGAAGTCTGATTGTGACTTCCAAATATCAGTCAACTTTGTAGAGTTGGATATTGTGGGGATTGAATCTTGAAGTTCTTGGGCTACAAATTTGATATCTTGAACTTCTTGAAAATTGGTGTTAGGGTTTTTCTTGGAAATTACGCTAGGGTTTTGTAGTTTCTTGCATTTTCGTGGGCTGCCAAGTTTTTGTTGGATATTGTTGTTCAAACTCTTGAAATCTGGAAATTTTGATTGAATCTTGAAGTTCTTGGGTGGGAAAACAAGGGTTCTTGAAAATCTTGTTCTCAACCTTTCCAAATCTTGAACCTTCAAAACCAAACCAAAGTTCTTGTCTCGAACTTGCGGCTGCCCTTGCTCAAATTTGACACAAAGATCTTGTTTCTTGTGTGTAGGATCCGAATTGAAAAAGAAAGAAAGATCCATCTTGCAAAAAAAAAAAAAAAACAACGCAAGAAAGAAAAAGAAAACACAAATCGGATTTCAAGAACAAGAAAATAATTTGCTTGGGTAGCCTAGCCGAGCTTGGGTTGAAAGAACAAACCTTGTTGCCTTCAATCTTGAACTATTGGCCGCCTCTCTTTGTCCACGAAATACCAGAAAACCAGCAGCCATTAACACCCCAAAACAACCAAGAAACCTTGCTATTAAATAGCCACAAAAGGTGGGAAGATAAGATATGGTTTCCTACTTTGTAGCCTCCTCTTGCTTTTGTTTCTTGATTGTGGTTTGTGCCAACTGCCCAGCCGATCCTTGGTGCATATTTTATAGTATTTCCAGCCAATACAAACGTGGTTTACAAGTCCCAAGAGTCCTAATCAGTTTTGGATTCCACTTGGTAGTTAACTCCTAAAATTAGCTACTAGTCACAATCCAAACTTTCCCTTTTCTGGGTTTTTTTTTTCTTGGGCGGACAGCTTCGGGTATTTTTTTTTCCAGCATATTATACATTTTCTTTTGTGTCTTAAAATCAGTCCAATAAACTTCCAAAAAATCACAGCCTTCATCCGCCACACTTGGGTGTAATTTGGTTCAAGTTTGATTGAATTTCTTCAAGAAAATTCTGATTTCTTCAAGAAAAGCAATCTAGTGACTTGAGAAGTGATTGGTGAGATCATTAGAGTGTTTTAATACACTTGAGTGAAACACGAGTGTGAGTGACATACTAAGGGAGTGAGTGAGGTGTTATTTCCACTAACCCTATTTTTGCAGGAATACCTCAACATGTCCGAAGGGAAGGAAACTACTCCTTTTGATATTAAACTTGTGATGGAGGCTATGACTGAAAAATTGCTCAAGATAATGAAACAGGAATTAGAACCATTGCATGAGAGGATGGATAGTCTCGAACACTCCCAAACCAATTCTAAGTCCCGGAGACACAAAGACCAACCCGTGACTATGAAAGTTCCAACTCCGAGGAGGAATATGGGTCGAGGACATGGAGGAATAAACACTGCAAAGCTCGTGTGGATCCAATCAAAGGCGTTAAAATGCAATTGCCTACTTTCCAAGGCAAATCCGACCCCGATGTCTATTTGGAATGGGAGAAACGAGTGGAGATTACACCGAGGAGCAGCAAATGAGACTTGCAGTCATGCAATTCACCGACTACGCCATAGTGTGGTGGGATCAAATCACTACTAGTCAAAGGCGAAGTGGTGAATACCCTATCACTACATGGACCGAATTGAAGGGTGTCATGAAAAAACGCTTTGTTCCTAGTCACTATCACCGTGACTTGTACCTCAAACTTCAAAATTTGACACAAGGAACCAAAAGCGTGGAGGACTACCATAAGGAGATGGAGATAGCTATGTTAAGGGCTGACATTGTCGAGGACCGGGAAGCTACTATGGCACGATTTTTAAGTGGATTGAGGCCTGAAATAGCGGATCAAGTGGAGATGCACCATTATGTTGACCTCCATGATATGCTAGACAAAGCTATTAAGATTGAAAGGAGGCTCAAGAGGAGGGGTCCATTTCGACAAAATCCCAACTTTCAAGCTGGACATTGGAGAGACCAACCCTTCAGGAGGGAGGTCAGCCCCTCTAGTGCATTCCCTTTGACCAAACAAGGTGGGACAACCAAGGAATCACTAAGGCCGAATGCAACTTCCTCAAAACCACCCTCAAGGAGCGATGGTAGGCCTACTCATGAGGTAAGCAAAGTTCGATACCGAGACACTAAGTGCTTTAAGTGTCAAGGATTTGGACATATTGCTTCCCAATGCCCAAATCAAAGGGTTATGCTTATGCTACCAAATGGGGAAGTACAAACGGATGAGGAGGATGAGTGTGAGGACATGCCTCCCTTGGTCGAGGAAGATGAGGAATTTGAGGAGATACCAGCTCATGGTAAAGTTGGTATGGTTGCAAGGCGAGCTCTAACTACTCAAGCTGGTAGAGATGACCTTCAACGAGAGAACATATTTTACTCAAGGTGCCATGTGATGGACAAGCTTTGTAGCTTGGTAATTGACCCAGGGAGCTGTACCAATGTTGCTAGTGCACTCATGGTGGAACGATTGAACTTGCCAACAAGTGATCACCCCCGACCTTACAAACTACAATGGTTGAATAATAAGTGTTGAATAATAGTGGTTGAATAAGCAAGTTTTAATTAATTTTGCCATTGGTAGATATAAAGATGATGTTTTATGTGATGTTGTGCCTATGCAAGCTACTCATATTATTTTGGGTCGGCTATGGCAATTTGATAAAAGGGTCATTTTTGATGGATTCTTGAATAAGTATTCCTTTGTGCATAACACTAAAAAGATCACACTTGCACCTCTTACACCTCAACAAGTGCATGAGGACCAAATTGGGTTGCAAAAGGAATATGACATGCATTGTGACAATAAAAAGAAAAATTTGCATGATACAAAGAGCAAAATGGCCGAACCATCTTCTCATAAAATTGACACTTCACATTCGTCCATTGAAGGAAAAAAGGAGAGAAAATCCATCATGCTTGCTAGAACTAGAGATGTGAGAAAGGCTTTGCACTCTAACCAGATTTCGCTTATCTTGTTTTGTAAAGAGTCTTTGCTCACTAATGAACTTGGTGCTTCCTTGCCTAGTGCTTTTGCTAACCTTTTACAGGAGTACCAAGATGTATTCCCTGAGGATATACCTAATGGGTTACCACCTTTGAGGGGAATTGAACATCAAATTGATTTCATTCCTGGCTCTTCCCTTCCAAATAAGGCACCATATAGGACTAATTCGGAGGAAACTAAGGAGCAACAAAGGCAAGTAGAGGACTTGCTTAGTAAGGGCTGGATTCAAGAGAGTCTAAGTCCTTGTGCTGTACCTGTCCTACTTGTGCCAAAGAAAGATGGAGGATGGAGGATGTGCACCGATTGTAGAGCCATAAATGCCATAACGGTAAAGTATCGCCATCCCATACCTCGATTAGATGACATGCTTGATGAGTTACATGGTGCTATTATATTTACTAAGATTGACTTGAAAAGTGGTTATCACCAAATACGCATGAAAGAAAGGGATGAGTGGAAAACAGCATTTAAAACAAAACATGGTCTGTATGAGTGGTTGATCATGCCTTTTGGCTTAACTAATGCACCTAGTACCTTCATGAGGTTAATGAACCATGTTTTGCGTTCTTTTATTGGTCAATTTGTGGTAGTCTACTTTGATGACATTTTGATCTATAGTAAGAGTGCAGAAGTGCATGTTGTGCATGTACGAATGGTCTTAGATGCACTTCAATCATAGGTACGAAAGGCAAGCCTCTATGCTAACCTTAAGAAGTGTACTTTTTGCACTAACCATCTTGTCTTCCTAGGTTATGTTGTGAGTGAACAGGGAATACGAGTTGACCAAGAAAAGGTGAAGGCCATAAATGAGTGGCCAACCAGTGTAAGTGAGGTAAGGAGTTTTCATGGCTTGGCAAGCTTCTATAGACGCTTTGTCAAGGATTTCAGCACTATTGCTGCCCCACTTACAGCCATTATCAAGAAAAATGTGCCGTTCCAATGGGAAGAAGAACAAGCTAAGTCTTTCCAGTTACTTAAACACAAGCTTACACATGCACCTGTATTAAGTTTACCTAATTTTGACAAGGCTTTTGAGGTAGAATGTGATGTTTCTGGTGTAGGTATTGGAGCTGTGCTAATTCAAGAGGGGAAACCAGTGGCCTACTTTAGTGAGAAGTTGAACGGTGCTTCGTTGAACTACTCAACTTATGACAAGGAGTTGATGGCCTTGGTGCGAGCTCTCCAAACTTGGCAACACTACCTCAGACCTCGGGAATTCATACTCCACACTGATCATGAATCGCTCAAACACATCAAATCACAAACCAAATTGAGCAAAAGGCATGCGAGGTGGGTAGCTTTCATTGATAGTTTTGCTTTTGTCATCAAATATAAGGTTGGAAAGACTAATGTAGTGGCTGATGCACTTTCTAGAAGGTATACACTAATCACTACATTAGACACTAAGTTGCTTGGCTTTGAATTCATTAAGGATTTATATGCAGCTGACCTAGACTTTGGTGAGATTTTCACAACCTTGCCACGAGTTACTCGTGAGCATTATTCTATGTCACAGGGGTTCTTGTACTACAAAGGTAAACTATGTATTCCAATGTGCTCCATGCGACTTTTGTTGGTTAGAGAGGCTCATGGTGGAGGCCTCATGGGACATTTTGGAGTGGCCAAGACCTTGTCAATTCTCCAAGAGCATTTCTACTGGCCTCGCATGAAGAGGGATGTCGAGAGGCATACACAAAGGTGTGTAACTTGTCACCAAGCAAAATCAAAGGTACATCCTTATGGACTCTACACTCCTTTACCCATTCCACATGAACCTTGGGTAGATTTGTCTATGGACTTTGTCCTTGGATTGCCCAGAACTAGACAAGGGCATGATTCCATTTATGTGGTAGTTGATCGTTTCTCAAAGATGGCTCACTTCATTCCTTGCCATAAAACTGATGATGCTAAACATGTGGCTGATTTATTCTTTAGAGACATAGTGCGTTTACATGGGGTACCTCGTACCATTGTTTCTGATAGGGATGTAAGGTTCCTTAGCTACTTTTGGAAAACTTTGTGGTGTAAACTAGGGACTAAATTACTTTTTTCTACTTCTAGTCACCCACAAACTGATGGACAAACTGAAGTGGTTAATCGGACTTTATCTACATTGTTGCGAGCAATTATTAAAAAGAACATTACATCTTGGGAAGATTGCTTGCCTCATGTTGAATTTGCATATAATCGTACTGTGCATACTTCTACTCAATTTTCACCTTTTGAAATTGTTTATGGATTTAACCCTCTCACACCTTTAGACTTGTCTCCTTTACCTATTTCTGAGAGAGTTAACCAAGATGGTAAGAAAAAGGCTGAGTTCGTGCGGGATTTGCATACCAAGGCTAGAGCTAATATT